GGAAGCTGCTTTGTTCTAGGACCACTGATCGAAGCAGAAATAGCCTGATTCCAATGATCAGTCGGACTCCACAAACCATTCCTTGTGGTTGACAACGACCCAGTCAGTTGCTTGCTGAACGAGAAACTTTATCTGAAGACGATCATTTTGGAATCCAGTGGTCCACTGGTTGGGCATGTCACCGGATAGCTTGCTACGGCACGCAATGTTTCCGAGACAGATGTGGGGGCGGGGGAGGGGGAAGTAAAGCGTGATCAAAATAAGACCCGACATTAGAGTATGAAAACAGTACTCAGGAGACTTAATCACTCAGGTCCTATCCTGCTTCCTGTATCAGAGAAACCGAGGGTTAGAAACACCGAACATCGTAAACAATGTCGCTTCTGCATCTGCTGAACATAGTCGTGATCCTAATCCGCATGAACTCCCTATTTTCACCTTTGCAGTGCTTTCAGCATTCTAATCTTCCCTCTACTCCCTTCATCCAAATGGGCAACCAAACCGGTGCACGAAGATACGTGCCTAATGGTTGTTCTCAGTTGAATGCATTATCGAGACTAATCCAAAAGATCACAACAGCGTGCATTGACAAAGATGGATACCCTAATCACGACGATCTGTTTTTTAACAGTAGCACTTGGGTGCATACAGGGTCCTACTGAGAAACCGCCGTTTTCGATACAGTTGTTATGCAGTGACTTCAGTTCTTGTAAGTGATAAAATTTGCTACCTGTCCAAAATGCCAGGTAAAAAGTGACGATGTCCCATCCAAGTCCATTGGTTGTAAATAACTGGGGCTGTGAGGCACTGGCCTTATTGGGTCACCAAATCAGCGTGAAAGTTCGACCTCAGAAGCCTCTTCGCCGACATAAAGGTCGTGGTTACTTTAAGTTTAGTGTTCCAGACACTAGATGGAGCTTTTTTGATATCACATCAACCGAATACGACCCATTTATTTCTCACAGGGGTACGATATGGAGGATGCGATGGTGATCAACAAAGGCTCCTATGAACGTGGATTAGCTGGCGCATGTATATACAAATCCGAGATTCTCGATCTAGCGCTACTATCCAAACAATCTACCTCACGATCACAGCTGTTTTCGCGTCGGAAACAACCCACGGCCGAGCACTACTTTGGTAAGTCACTTTCCTGTCATGTGCACGTCAATTTTCAACCAATGCCCTCACACCTCCGATCAGGCTTTATTTCTGACTACGTTGCAATTCTGGGGCAGATTATGACTTATTTTTATTTCTGTACTGTGTCTGAAGCTATTGATAAAGGTTGCACTTAACGCTCGAAAAGTTCCGCTTTCGTGAAGGGCGAACTAGACGCATTTCTAGCTCTACTAGATGCTTTCATTAAGCGCGTCTCCTGCAGCGTCTACTGGTGGAGTCCTCTCTCTGTCTTCACCTGGGTGCTTTCAGTGAATTGAGCATGAAAGGTCGTCCAGGTTGATAAGCCACAGGCCACTAACTCGTCCGGGGGCTCTAGAAAACTGATTCACAGCCTCCCAATAAGGGACCTACTAACGGGTTCTGTAGCCTTCTGCTTGCGTTGGTTACCGGCTCATTTGGGCGATAGGGTATAAGAACCAAACTGCAATGGCAAATAATTGAACTAACTGGAGTTCGGTTTTCACTTCGCTCTGCTACCTTACAGACTCAATAGTCGAAGGCTCGGATCGGGTTCATAAGGACAGCTCCTGCTTCGAATCTACCAACTTGTTCTAAAGATTCTGCGTCATGGCTTTTTGGTTCACAGTCTGTACCAACATTAGTTATTCTACTGTCTTAATTTAGTACCAGAAATTGTGGGAAATACGTTGGCAGAGTTCCATTGCTATTTGGAATACACCTAAATCATCTCTGCCAATTACGGTGGTCGTGTTGCGTGATGGTCATCTATTCTATGAACTTTTTATCTCCATATATCAGAAGGCAACGAAGCCCTTTAAGCTCTCTGAATGGGGACCCCGAGTTCATTGTAACCAATGGTTAAAAACACCGAGTGATATGGTTGGGTGTCGCAAACAGTGGCGCTCGTGCATCTACTCATTATTCTCACAACCTCAGTCTGTATGAAGTCTCCATCTTCCACTTGAATTTACTCTCCACATTCCAATCTTCAATCTGCTCTTTTATTCAAATAGGCTGCCCAAAGAGAGCAACTAGAACCGAAAGTACATGATTAATGGTTGTAAAAACGCGCAACGTGAAATAGGTATAGTACTGATTGATGAAGCTGAAATCATTAATCGTTCAGTTGGCATACCACTACATCCTTCATTGTTTTCCGAAGAATGGCGAGATATAACCAGGGTCTGATCTGTTTTGTTTTCGGGAACACAACTCTCCTCGCTAAATTATTGGTTCACAATGTCAATTAAACAGTTTGTTTCCACATATCCGTGCGCCGATTTTATTGCTTGTGTACGTCATTTTACCAGTCTATCGTCTCCGCTTGAAAAGTCTTATAATCTTCCTGTCTCAGAACTCTCAGAGATCCATACTGCGGCGTTTAGCTGACAGTGCCCGCATCACCCACTAATAGATTCGACCATTCATCTGTTCAAAGTTTACTAATGTCGCCCCACCCATGCTTCTGTGCGATCATGAATGGCATGTGCGTCTATGTATCTTTTCTCAGGAACGCCCAACAACCCCCCGAATGGATTAGATTGGGATGGTTTTCCTCCTGTTGGAACCCGCTTGGAATCAGGTGTCAGTCCGCTGTACGCATATACTCACATAGAAACTCAACAAACCACCGTAGTCAAATATGAGAGCGGGGAACAGATTGCTTATGTGGATTCAATTTCACTCAACGGATCATGGAGTCAAGTAAGCACTTCACAGTTGATTATTTTCAGTTTATGTATAATGGCATCCGTAATATGCATCTTTCTCGATTCGTCCTAGTTTTTTTATACAATGAGTATAAAATCATCTTAGAGGATTTCGGTCGCTGCGAAAATTGCCATTGATTTAAACCAAAGGATAGGTAGGCAGCGTTGCGGAATTTGAGCACCCGATCTAAGAGATGTAATGAATCAGAACTTTATTAAATGTCGTAGGAGTATATTTGTTTGCCAGTT